TTGGGTCACCGGGAGATTAGTAGCTCCAGTAATTGTAGCCAACGCAGGGCTTTCAGCTTCCATGTAGTAGTCCTCACACTTCGGCCCTATCCGGGGTCGGGTGGCCCCGATAGCTGAGTTCGTCCTAAGCAGTGTAAGTTGTGTATTTGTAAAACATCTTTGCAGGAAAATTCCAAGGTAGTTTAGGTGGTTGCGGAGACCACAAATGTGCAAGGGGATCTTAGGTGAGCTGAACTTGAGGATCAGGCATTTATATTTGGATTACTGGGAAGCCATTCCACGGAAAGCAGTTCTTTACTCGAAATGTTAAGATTGGACAGGAACCTCACTGTAGATAAGATGGATTTGCAGGTATTCCAATCATACTGATTAAAACAGGAGTGAGCCAGGTTCAAGTATAAATTGTCCGGAAGCAATTGAAGATTAACTGGATGCATCCATCGCTGATGGCTGATCCAATACGTGACCAAGGTTTCTGACAGACTGGGCACGAAAACTGCCTTTTCAAGGGAGCTCACTTTGCCCTCCAACACTCTAATAGAGGTCGTCAAGGGCGTGATGGATTCAGCCAGGTGGAGACAAAACTGTTGCAAGAGGTGGATGTCAGACAGCCAGACGGTATCAGCAAAAGGCGACTGTCCCCGCAGAAAGAACAAGGAGGGAAGAGAATGGGGTGAAGTAGAGTCTGCATCAGTTGGTAACATGCAGTCTGATGGAGAAAGCACATCACAAGGGCAGGCAACCGCACACTTCGGCTCCTCCAGCAAGGCACGTGGCGCAAACTCTGAAGATGGTAAATTGCAGAAGAATTCCTCCAAGGAAGTGATTGAGGAATTCAAATCCTTATCCGACAATTTCGGAATGTCTGTCTTTTTAACCTTGGGCAGAGGGCCAACTGCATGGTCGGAAATAACCTCCAAACTGGAGGCCACAGGAGACATGGAACGGCAGAGTTTGTGTTTGCTCATATCAGAAACACTCAGGTACTCCCGGTAAAGGAATTGTAACTATACGGTAAGGTCCTTGAAGGCAACTAAACAGTCAGTTGGTGACTGTACTTGGGGTGCCCTTTTGTTGTGACTTCAAATGTCCAACTTTAATTCACCAACTGACTGTTTAGTTGCCTTCAAGGACCTTACCGTATAGTTACAATTACAGGCAAGGCCCAAGTACAGGCAAGACCTTATTTGCCGGAGGAGTAAGTCAGCAAGGCCCGGCAGTTAGGCCTAACAAACAATGTTATCTGAGGATAGCTAAACAAAATTGCCAGCGAAGGCAAAAAAGGGAAGATAGCTAGCCGGTTACAAGAATAGGAGGCTGAGGACATTAAATAATAAACATCAAACATTTAGAGCTCCTCGTAGATGTATTGTGGGAGTGAAAAACAAGATTAAACTAGGATAAACATTAAAAACAAGCAGGAGAGAAACATATGTCCTACCAGTCCTCCATCTTGAAACAGCAACCTCTCCTCTCATATTTATGACAGTTGTAGTGTCCCAAGGTCATGTGATCACATTTTGTGACCTCCTGACCAGGAAGGTCAATGGAGAAGTCGGATTCACTTAACAACCCATGTTATTAACAACTGCTGTGATTCTCTTAACAAACCTGGCAAGAAAGATCATAAAATGGGGCAAAACTCACTTAACAAATCATTCACTTAGCAACAGAAATTTTGGGCTTAATTGTGGTCATGTATTTTGTATTTTGTTACAAGTTTGGCTGTATCACTGGCCTTTTTTTTCTAGAAAGTTTTTGTAAAAATTTTTGTAAAAGCCAGAAACCTTTTCAGGTATAGTCTGCATTTGATCATTGGTCCCAAGAGGTAGCTGTCTGAATCTTGTTACTGTAGCATCTGGCCAGAGAATGCTGTGATAGAAGGATATTAGCTTTAAATTCTTAACTTCCTCTCTCAGGTGCTTCTTGTTACAACCTTTTTCCCCTCAAACAACTCAGTTCTAGTAGCACAGCCTATAAAAAGGAGAGGAAGGATAAAGTTTCCAAACTTCTGACCTGGAGAGTCAATACTTTAATCTTACCTTCCACTATTTCCTTTAGATACAAATCTGATAATTGACAATTTGTGCAATCCCCCCTCCCATTTCCTACCTATGGGTTAAACCTTAGATAGGCACAAGCTTCTTTCAGGGTTCCGTATAACCTAACGTAAATTTCTTAGGTGGAAAATATTCTCATTTAATTACTATTATCTTCAGTGTAAACCCAACATTTCCTGCTAGGCTTTCCCCCCTCTAGAACTATTCAAGAGAGTTAAACTCTGAATCTTACATCACATTCATGACAAACTCATCTCCATTCCAGTTTTGGCAAAGTTTTAGATATGAAACGAAGAGACTTTATCTACTATTGCAAAGTTTAAAATAACAACTAAATGGGAACAGAAGGTGGCAGTATGTCAAAACAACTCAAAAACTGGTCTGTCAGCAACTGAGAAGCATTGCATTTAAAAGGCACATTTTTAATTGTCTTTATTATTATTATTTTAAAAAAGAGAAACAAGAACCTTCTAACTTAAAAAGCATATTAATAGTGTGTATTTATTTATATGAAAGTCCTAATATACTTTATGAAACTCACTACCTGGAAAGTAGGCATAACCTAAATTTGTTTCCCCTTTCCAAAAGTAAAATGCTAGATTCAACATTTGAGAATTGGAATTGTCTACCTTTGTTAACCTTCATATCTTAATTTAACTTTCTGTACAGGAGACATTATGGACTATTTTTTACACAAAAAGTACACATCATGTTTTTCTTCTGATGCCTGAACATGATTTAAGTTATTTTTAAGATTTTCCCATCCTCCATCCTTTCCTTCATCCATGTACATGTTTATGTTAATCTAGATAGTTGAGATGATAGATAGATAGATAGATAGATAGTTAGATAGATAGATAGATAGATAGATGATAGAAAGACAGAGAAAAAGATGATAGATAGTTAGATAGATAGATAGATAGATAGATAGATAGATGATAGAAAGACAGAGAAAAAGATGATAGATAGATAGATAGATAGATAGATAGATGATAGAAAGACAGAGAAAAAGATGATTGATAGATAGATAGATAGATAGATAGATAGATAGATAGATAGATAGATAGATAGATAGACAGACAGACAGACAGATAGATAGATAGATAGGTAAACAGAGAATTAAAGAGTACAGGTAGTCCTCAACTAATGACCATAATTAAGGCCAACATTTCTGTTGCTAAGCAAGATATTTGTTAAGTGAGTTTTACCCCCTTTTATGACTTTTCTTGACACAGTTAAGTGAATTACTGCAGTTGTTTAGTAACACAGTTTTTAAGTCAGTCTGGCTTCCCCATTGACTTTGCTTGTCAGAAGATCACAAAAAGGGATTATGACCCCAGGACTCAGCAATTGTCGTAAACCTGTGCCAGTTTCCAAGCATCTGAAGTTTGATCCTATGACCACAGGAATGCTGCAAGTCATAAGTGTGAAAAATGCTCATAAGTCACTTTTCTCAAGGCTGTTGTAACTTTGAATGTAAGCAAATGGTTGTAAGTTGAGGACTATCTATCTATATAGATAGAGACAGAGAGATAGAGATAAAAAACACAGTATAATTGGTGAACAGTAAATTATCCACAGAAGCATTTTGATGGCACCTTTAGAGGCAAATTCCTTTACTTCACTAAGAACAGAAGCTGCTTTTTCTATGCTCTTACTGTAGCTATTAGGTATCATTCTTCCACCATCAGATAAAATGGATTTTTTGCACAGTGTGCTTATCTCAAACATTTTTTATGTCTTAAGTTTTTTTTCAATTGTCAAGGAAAAGAATTAGGCTGGGTCTGCCAAGGAGATGTTTTTTTCAGATGATACTATGAATGAAGAACAAATGAAGATGAGAATGACACAGCAGGACCTTGGCTACTGCCAGCTCCTGGGAAAGATAGCATTTCTGCTGAATATGAAATGCATTGCTGCATTGCCATGAGAAAGCCTGCCTTCATTTCTTTTCTTTTCTTTTTACAACTCCCTTAGCTTTGGATGAAATTATTTTCTGTGTTGCGCTCTCTCCTCTCCCCTCCCCCTCCCCTTCTCCCCGCTCTCCTTTTCCTCCCTCTTCCCCCTCTCCCTCCCTCCCTCCCTCCCTCCCTCCCTCTCTCTCTCTTTCTAAATCTCTGTCTTGGTGTGCTGTAAAATCTCCTGAATGTTAATAAAGAAATGGGCAGACCACTTAGGTGAGTTATCTATCCCCAGTTCATTTTCAGTTAATTAATATTGTCATTCCCAAGAGGAGGAGAAATCTTCACTCTTCTGTAAATGAAAAGACAGAAGAAAAGAATCTATAATGATAAAAATAAATGATGTTGGATATAAGGTAATTTTTCAGATTATGTATCTGACGCACTGATATAAATCCAGCCTTGATTCTCTTTTTCTGGGGCAAGATCTAAGGGTCATTGAAAAAGAGGTGCAAGGTCAGGAACCATAGAGGAGAATGGGTGGGGGGCTCAGGAGAACCCCTGTATTTTGCTGTCAACACAGCTATTTGTTCTAATAGAAGGGCAAGCTGTGCTGGAAATTAAAAACCATTCATAGTATCCCTTGTGGAATTGCCCATATATTTTGTTCATAAATAGATTAAGATCCTTCATCAAATGTAATTTAGAGGTGAGATAAATGTTAAAAGGAAATTGTGAGTAAGTGGAGACTAATTAAGGAATTATGTCCTGAAATGTCTCCCTCCCTCCTTCCTTCCTCCCTTTCTTTCTTCCTTCCTCCCTCCCCCCTCCTCCTTTCGCCTGCTTTTCTCTCTCATTCAGTTACACCTACAGCGAATCCTGATGATGCCAGAATGAAAACACACCTGTGGTGGCATCATCCCATAAACTCTCCCTTATATGATTGAAACATCTGATGCAACTATGTAAAGTGAGACAATGGCATCATCCATACTACATCTTTTGATCCTCCATCCTTCAGTGCATGCCCATGTTTTACCTGTCAATGAAGTTTGCTTGAACTGCAAGAAATGTATATTCAGGGTAGCCAAGATAGATTTGGTATCCACTAGAGTTTGATCACTGACATCCCTGACATTAGCTGACAGAACGGCGCACATGCTGCAGTACTGAATGCCAGCTGCCTTGAGATCTGAACAAGATAGTCCACTGCCCTAGTAAGAAAAGTAAGAATTTGTGTTTGTTTATGTTAAATTATTATTTTTTTTTATGCCTGAGGGGCATAGTAGCCTAGAAGTAGAGCTTTTGCCTCACAATCAGGAGGCTTTGAGTTTGATTCTGGTAACATCAGATATTTTTCTCTCTGGGCGCAAAGAGAAAATATCTGCTGTGAACTCTGCATAGGCTTCAGGAAGGACATCTGGGCAGTAAATGCTCAGCTCCATTCAGTCATCCCAACTCCTTCCTGAAGCAAGGGATTACAGGTTCATTAAAAGAAAAAAAAACATGTTTCTGTATCTTCTCTACAGTTTACCCTGGTTGGCTTATAAAATGAGAACCATAGAACTAACAACACTGAAACCTGAGTTTCAATTTAATATAAACATTCCTAATAACATTTTGAAGAGACATGTGGATTCCTGAGATAAAAAATGGACAGAATAGTCTCCAAACAATATAAATATGCAACATATCCAACCAGTAAAAGCTGTGGCACCTCAGAACAAAAATCAGATTCCTAGATTTTGGAATAGCAGATGTTCCTAGAAAAGTCCAGTTAGTTTAAAGCAGAAACCCAAGAAATATATGGAAAATAGGCAAGAAGCTACTTTCTTCAACTCTATTATCCTCTACCAATAAATGAAAATTGGATCCAGGAAAATGAACTCATATATTCTTCTGTCTAGAGAAAGCTTCAATTGAGAGTGCAGCATTAAGGTTAGTATTGAGATTGAAGCTTCAATATTATCTTTTGACAATCTGCACAGCTTTAAGAAGTATGCTGTATGGGATGGATAACAAAATAACCTATGCTTGGATGGAGTGGTTAAGTTTCCCTTTTGCTTTTCCATAGCCTTCTCTGACTCTCTAGTATTTTGAGATGACAAGTATGAACAAACAAACATACAGTATTACAGTCCAAGACCAGATGATGAAACCAACCAAGTGCAAGTAAATGGGGAGTGGGAGGGAGGGAGGGAGAGAGAGAGGGAGACTAAAATAATGTTGTTGTTTTTAAAAAGCTCACCTTTTCACCAAAACAAGGGAGGGAGAGGAATGCAGTGTTTTTGCTTCAGTCATAACACAGCTAAAGAAATTTGCCTTATTGCCCCATCTGATGATCATCCCATCCACTAAAAACACATTCATACCTTCAGTAAGTGAAGTTTTGGAAAATTTTGGATGAATTCCCATTCCCGCTCAAGGTATTCAATGCAGCCAACAAAGACGATGTCCTTCAACTCACTGAATGCAAAGTTGCTACCTCGCAGTGGCATCACAAAGTTCCGTAATCCAATTATGGTTGAAGTGGCATCTCCAAAAACACAGACTATAATATGATCACGCAAGTCACTGAAAAACTTCTTTTTGGATTTCTAAAGAAGATAAAACAGAGGTCTATGGAAATGAATTTGGCAAAATAGCAATGGAACTGAAAGTACTGGAAAAGTTATATTGTTTTACCAATGTTTACAGAAAATGCATTGATTGTACCAACATACAACCCTTGCACAAGCCTTGGGTTTTGGTTAAACTTTCAACTAAGTGACATACTCATCAGAAAGGAAGAAAGAAAGGAAGGAAGGAAGGAAAGAAAGAAAGAGAGGGAGGGAGGAAGGAAGGAAGAAAGAAAGAAAGAAAGAGAAAGAAAGAAAGAAAGAAAGAAAGAAAGAAAGAAAGAAAGAAAGAAAGAAAGAAAGAAAGAAAGAAAGAAAGAAAGAAATGTCTCTCTCTACTGCAATGCATCAAGGAAGGGCATGAGCTTCAGAGAGAGATGATAACCTGCATTGCTGGAGATACAGACCTGATACGTCATGTTTAGCACAAAGAATGGCAAAGAAAAGAAAATGTTAAATAAATCTGAAACTCTAAACATCTAAAGGGGAATATTTAAGTTTCATGCTCTATGTCTTGAATCATATTTAGACATTGTGAATTATGCTCCTGAGATGCATAAGAATGTATATCCACCACTGCTATGTTCCTATTCTCACAGTCCTCTTGGTCCTCCTGATACTGAAAACAAACATCTGAGATTGGGAAGGTTTTATGTATAAAGTAGAATCTGTCACCTCTTACAAGTTTAGCAGGTTGGCAGTTTACCCATCAAACGATATCACTTGTGACTCATCGTGTTGAATGAGATCTTACCAAAGTACTTAACATGGAAAAATTATTAAACTTGAGGTCACTATACCAATTTTAAAAAAAGCATGCACCCCACCCCCAAAAATCTAGTTCTAGCCTATGGATTAGCTCTTAGCACTCATAGCACTCTTAGCACTTATCATTTATAGCATAATCTTTGCAAAGCAAAAAAATATGTCCCGACCTCCTAGAAAAATCTAAACTATTCTTCGGTCCACTATAAGATTATTTGTATCTGTTCTGCCTATTATAGCCTTTTGTTATAGATTTCTGGGAACCTAATAACATCATGTTGTGTCTGAAAGCATAATGGTGATTTGTCATATTTTTTTTTTAATTTGATTTATATGCTGCCCTTCTCCGGAGACTCAGGGCGGCTTACAATGTATTAAGCAATAGCCTTCATACTTTTGTATATTTATACAAAGTCAGCTTATTGCCCCCACAAACTGGGTCCTAAATTTACCTACCTTAGAAAGGATGGAAGGCTGAGTCAACCTTGAGCCTGGCGAGATTTGAACTTACAGTAATTGCAGATAGCTGGTGTTAATCACAATGCTATCAGTCTGCTGAGCCACCAGGCCCTTCATATATTGATGTCACATATTGGCTATGTGACATGACAAGGTGACTGTACTTAGGTGTGATGGAAGAAATCTTTAGATGATTGGAACATTCCCTATCAAGAACTGTCAAGCAAACATTCATAAAACCATTTCTTCATGATGATTTTATCTTTGAAGGAAAATAAAAGATTCATGTCAGGGAACTTTACTGATGAGTGATTAGAATCATTGCCAAATTAAATGATCATCTCTAACTAATTGGATTAGTTTAAATTGAATAATGAAATTTCAAGCTGTATTTAGTGGAACGTGCCTTAAATCCAATTATTAGTCTGTCAAGTGATGCTAAACAATGGAAGTGATTCATTGATAACCTTTTAATAGATTCTGGGGGTACAGGAGGAGGGCTAGCCTGATCAGAATATGAGACAAAAGATGAATTTGTTATATTGAAGACAAAGACAAATGGGCATATTAAGTCTGATGGAAGAGGTTTGAACATAAATAACTTATCCCAAACTAAAGATGCTTCAAATTTCTTCTTGGAGTTTGGCACACCAATGAATAATTTAAAGAATAAGTTAATTTTTCTATATTATTGAGTTTATTGGTAAAATCTCCAATCAGCCAAATTACTGAGACCATGGTAAACCTGAACACCCAAGTCATAGGAAAACATATAAATGACCACACAAAAAAGGTGCTAGGCTTTGAACTATCATGTCAGCAATGGACAATCCTGAATAGCATTTACACCCCCATACAGCATCTTCTGGGGCTCCTCTCTGTATAAATGGGCCCTAGCCAGGGGTGAAATTAGACTGGTTTGGACCGGATTGCGTGTACTGGTAGTGGTGATTTTAAATGGTTTGCTGAACCGATAAAAAACACCCCTGGTTGGCCCCTCCCCCGCCCGCTTGCCCAGGTGCTTGCCTGCCTTCGCAAGCTGGCCATGGGACCATTGGGAAGGCAGAGTGGAAGGCAGGCAAGCAAGCATGTCAGGGCTGCCCCGCCATGGGGAAGGGAGCCAGCAGCCTTCTCCCTTCCACGCAGCCCTGCCATGCTTGCCTGCCTTCCACGCGGCCTTCCCAGTGGTCCTCCATGCCTGCTTGCCTTCCGAGGTCCGGTCCCACATCCAGCCGTTGACGGGAGACGCATCACTTCCGGGCTGGCCTGGCCAGTGGGTGGGCGACCGGTCCTTGGGGGAGATGCAGCCACTGCACTGGGGCTGAGAGGGGTGGCAGCACTGCATATGCAGCCCTGGGATATCCGCCCTCCCTCCTGGAACGCGTCTGCCACCCCAGACCTTGCCTTTGCCTCTGCAGCCCACTGGCCCCTTGGGGCAGCTCAAATACTGCTTTTGCCCTTCTCTTTCTGGGTGCAGTGCTTCTGCTTATTGGGCCATTTCCCTGAAGCCAGCAGCTCCGTGGCCAGCTGCTTTGCTTTTTCTCTCTTTTGGGGAGGCTCGCGGGAGGCTTGTGAAGCAGCATGGGGGAGGCAGGCAATCCAGATGCCCCGTGCTGGTACTTGTACAGTGTAGCTGCAGGCAAGCCAAGAGACAGTGGGATGAAGGGGCTGGTGCATTGGGATTGCCTCTGCCTCCCCCATGCCTCTACCTCCACCTGCTGCTGGTGCCACCACGCAAGCCTCCCATGAGGAAAAAGGAGGAAAAAGCAAAGTGGCTGGCTGCGGAGCTGCCAGCTTCAGGAAGTGGTCTAACAGGCAGAAGCACTGCGCCCAGAAAGAGATGGGCAAAAGTCATTCTGCGCTGAAGCAGAGGTATTCCGAGCATTCAGCGTACCCCAGGATTGCAATACTGAAGGTTCGGAATGGAGCTTTTTTCATGAACGTCAGGAAAATGGGGAGGGGGATTTTCCTGCCTACCATTCTTTCCCCAGTCTGTGCTGAGATTGAGGAATGGATGACAGGCAGGAAAATCCCCCTCCCCATTTTCCTGCCTTTCACGAAAAAGGCTCTATTATGAACCTTCAGCGTATCCCAGGATTGCAACGCTGAAGGCTCGGAATGGAGCTGTTTTCATGAAAGGCAGGAAAATGGGGAGAGGGATTTTCCTGCCTGTCAACCATTCCTCAAGCTCAACACAGACTGAGGAAAGAATGGTAGGCAGGAAAATTCCCTTCCTGCCATTTGTGACAGGAAGGGGCTTGGGAGGGGAGGGGCTGGGTGAGGCGCCCCTCGATATGAGTGATGTCGAGTTGGCAATGCCCACCTGGTCACATGACCCCCCCACTAAGCCACACCCATCAAGCCATACCCACAGAACCGGTAGGGAAAAATTTTGAATTTCACCCCTGGGCCTAGCATCCTCCACTCCGTGTGACTGTGGGGTCCCATATCAAACTGTAGATCACATCATGACCGGCTGTAAACTGAGGGCATATTCTGGTCCAGTATCTGATTTTTTAAAAAAAAATATAAATGATGCTGCGTTTCAATGGTTAGATGGCCTAAACATTGATATTTGAACATAGATCTTTTTAACATTTATATTTTATTGGGTTCTACTAATCTAGTTGAAATGTTAATATATATTGCTAGTTTGTATATGATATGCCATACACCAAATAAATAAATAACTGTGACCATCACTACTTTAGACATAACCAATGTTAGAAGTTATACACTGTCTCAAAGACCAAGAATGAGGACCCAGTTTGTGGGGGCAATAAGCTGACTTTGTATAAAAAAGAACACCGTTTTTTTGGGGGGGGGGCGAAAGCCCTACTAAGCAGGTATATACAAAAGTATGAAGGCTATTGCTTAATGCATTGTAAGCCGGCCTGAGTCTCCAGAGAAGGGTGGCATATAAATCAAACCAATAAATAAATAAATAAGAATTAACACACAAACTTTTGTGTACCATTATCAGTGGTCCACAGCTTTTTGCTATCTGTTGCAAAAGAAAAGCTGGCAACCACTCAGACAAAAATTGTCTAGAATGATCTTATTTCAACATTGGGGTAAGTAAGTATATGGTCTGTATAATTGCATGTGTAAATAGAAGATGGGGTTACAAGCTTCTGCCTAATGATAGACAGGATACCACATTATTATTAATCTCTGACATTTGTGCAGAATACATTGAAGGTAGATCTAAGCATTGTAAAGGGGCAACCTCAGAACTCTTTAGTTTCTTCTTGAGGGAGGCAGAAAAATGCAACTGGGGAGGTTAAATTCCTCATTAAAAAACTTAGTTAAAAATATGGCAATCGCATGGAAGAAACTAATAAGCAAATACAAACAAAAATGGCTTAACATAAATATAGTTTCTACTAATTAAAAATAGGTTCTGTAATTTAAAAAAGTAAAGTAATGCCCTGAATAAATCTAATCATCTAGGTCCATCACCTACCAAGAGTGCCATTTCAAAAGGGATAGCTTCACACCAATGAAACATTCTTGTAGCATCCAATGAGCAACAACCAATTTCTTCTTCTCCTTCTTCTGAATGTCTGGATGGACAAAATGACAGATTGTCATAGGGTGACTAACATGGTGGCATCTAAGGTCTGAAGAATAACAGAAGTTCTTTTTTTTCTTTACCAAAACAGGCTTATGGCATAAAACTGGATGCAAAGAAAAAAACAGAGGAAGGAGGACAGGCAGACAAAAGTGAGAAGGACATAGTTAGAAGATACAAATAGGAAAGTGAAATACTTTGATCTCATTTATGAATCAACTTGTTGAATGAGATCTCAATCAAGACAATTCTGCCTTTATTCGGTATACTTTAATTTAAGGACATCTGTACACTTGAATGGAGAGCACCAAGATCACATTTTTAAAAGTATTAAATACAGAGCAAGGATTAATATATTTTATCTGGCTGGTAAGTTATTTGGCATTTGTATTATGTTCTTTGGTAAACAAGACAAAAATCCCAAACTGACAGAAACTCATGACAATTTTGGGTTCATGCTAAGATGTTTCTTTCTTTTTGACATGGTGTCCTTTCTACCCTTTCTTTATTGATTTCCGAGCACTAGACAATGACATGTTTCAGAGAACATAGCATTCATTTTTTGTATTGTGCATATGACTTTGAGAAGGTGTAATAGATATGACTGTAATAGATATGACTGAGAATATAATTGACAATGAGGCTATATAGTCAAAAGTTATCAAGCAAGGATGATCCTAAAAACCAAGAAACAAAACAAGCCCTTAATTCCACCCAATGGGATCCTTTTACTTCCTCTTACTTCCATCAAACTTCATTTCTGGGGCAGTGCATAAACATCTACAAAATACCTTATTGCCAAAAATAATTTCCAGGATTCATAAATGCATGTGCATCATAAAATCAACACAAGTTACACCTGCCACAGATGGCTGATATTTAAGTAAAACCATAAAGGAGTGACAGCTCCCTTCTCACCAAATAATATCCCAGCCTTTAGTAAGTAAGTGTCAAAAAGAATGTCAGGATTCAAGTTTAAGCAGCAGGAAGGAAAACAGTCTAGGGTCATCTTCCTTGCCATTCCACACAGGCTTCTTTAAAAGAGAAGATCTGGTAATAGTAGATAATATGGGGAAAGAAATTAATATGTGTATCTCAGTGCGCTTATGCCAAGAATAGACATTTTTGTCCATTAGTCATATGGCACCTCCCCAGCATTTGCAACCTCCTCCTTGCTGCCCAGATGATGGATTGGTCAGCTGTTGATTAAATTGTGTTTTGGCACGAGGGAAGCTATCTTGTTGCAAGTTCTTTTTAAGTCAGCCCAGCTCAGCAAATCAATCAGTGCACACTTTTCCATCATCATAAAACCATGATCTATGTACACAAGCTGTCACAGACGATATCTCCCTTCACTCAAATGTTATAGGAAGCATCTATGCCCTGGAGGGAACACCTGTCAGAGCCCTGGGCAAAGAAATAAAAAGGCAAGGCAATGCTTGAAATGTACTTCATCATACAGGCATCTTTCTTCAGATATCATTGTGAAAGTGAAAGGGGGAGAGGGTGCAGAAAGCGCTCATCTATCTCTAGGTGCCTTAACTACTCTTCCCATCTGCCATATTTTCCACAAGCAATATGAGCTTGTCTAGAATCTACTGCCCTAGGAAGGTCAATGAGCAATTGTAATGAATACAGCTTCTGTGGTGGGAGGTCTTGGGGAACATGAAATGAGAAGGAGAGAAAAACAGACATATCAAGATAAGGATCCAGTCTTCCAAGGAAGTTTCCTGAGTGGCCACAATTTTGCTCAAACCTATTCAGCAAGCTAAACATTAAGATCCACTGCAAAATCTTGTTTTCAGGCTTGAAATTTAGGAAAGGATCTTCTACCAATCAATAATGGCTTTTTTCTAAGATGTCATCTTTGAATGACGTCATTTTTTTTCTTGACCATATCATCAGTTTCCTTTCTTTTTTCCCAACACAGTCCCCATGATTGCCTAAAGGAAAAAGACAAGTTAAGTAGATGATTATGTTCCCTTTTTATTATTACTTCAAAATAAGTAATAGTCTTCCGGTTGATGTCACGGCGAGACAGTCAGGGAAATAGAGGGCTCTGATGAGTCCCGCGAAAACCCTGGCTGACGAACCACCGCCGATGGGTCTGCGGACCAAACTTGTCCTGCAGGGACAGGGGAAAAAGAAGGGTGCCTCAGAAGACCGAGAGGAACAGGCAAGTTCCTCGGAGGTCAGAGGGAACTCTCTGTGAGTCGGCGGCGGGGGACAGCAGCCATGGCAGCTGCCACAAAGCTGGGACAACTGGGCAAGAAAAGTGCTGGAGGAAAGCAAAGTAAAATGGAGCCTTTTGAAGCCGGGTGAGTGACAACAGCCCAGGCTTGCAACAATGTTTGGAGCTATATTAGTAACTAGAAGACCCCTAGCCTAAAACAGCTGCTAAGTAACAAAGGGATTTTGGAAATTTTTTAAACTGTAACTTTAAAGAACAAATACCCGAGAAACAACTAATTTTGGAACAAGAACTAAGAGACTTAATTTAGAGATATGGTAAAAGGACTAAACCCTTAAAAATTTGAATTGGACTAAGGAAAAAAAAGGAAGATTGGTACTTTTTTAACTAAAAGAAGAAAATAAAGTGGATGGTTATATAATAAGAAATAAAATGGACTCTTGCATGACTAATGGGAAATGTGGTTATAGAGAGACACCATCTGGCGTTAAGAGGAACTTTGTAACCTCCCTTTGTTATGAGAACTTTGAGCTCTACAAAAACAAAAAAACAAAAAAAAAATTGCTGAACTGTGGAGGAGGATTTTTCTTTCCTGACTGCAAGCAGCTGGACTTTGGTGAAGAAAAGGAATCTACAATGGAACTCCTACAGTTGAACAAATAATAATTTGAATGTTGGCGCAGGAATAGAAGAAGGATTAAGCGCAGCCTCAAAAGAAAGAGATTCGATACATTATATCTGGAATAAAAATATGAAAAGAGCTTTAATTGGACTTATGGAGAATAAAATTAAAAACTTGGAAAATGGAAGGAAATTTATGTTTGCAGACGAGGAAATGAAGATAATGTGATTAAAAATAAAATAAAGTAAAGATGATTGTAATAAATTAAAGGGAAGCTTTTATAGAAATTAAAATGTTAAATGAAACTAATTAATATGTTTAATGCAAGAACTATGTTTTAATGGTAACATGTTAAGGTAAAGAATAAGGGTGAATATGATTAAATGTTGAAAATGTTAAAAGGAATTTAAAAATATACTTAAAAATATGTTTTAAGCAAGAACCATATCTCAAGGTTAAAATGTTATGAATGCTATGAAAAAGGATAAAGAAAAATATGATTAAATGAAAAGCAGTGCATAGATGGAGGGAAACAACAAAGAAAGGTTTAAGTAGAGATTGTTAAACCAACTATGAACATGGTGTATTTAACAGCCAAAAAGCTATAATATGCTGTATTGAACAGCCAAACAAATGGTCATGTTGGGTATCAGCCAAAACGAAATTTAATATTCCGTGTAACAGCCAAAAAACAAAAATAGAGATGCTGTATTCAACAGCCAGACAAACCTGAAGATGCCATGTAACGGCCCCCCCCAAAAATTAATATGCTGTGTTTAACAGCCAAACAAAGGGCATGCTGGCAATGGCCAAAAAATAAAAATATACTATATTCAACAACCAAAACAAAGGGTTATGCTGTGATTAACAGTCAAGAAATAGAAATGATTGGTTTAACATCAAAGATAATAAAAAGAGGTGGGATAATTAAAATGAGGTGTATGTTGAGAGTGATAGTTAAGTTAAAATGCATAAGTTAGATTTAATAATTATTAAATAATTAATGAATGTTTAATCTGTTTAATATATTTGTATGATTTATATTGTTAAAATATCCATCTAAGCAAATGAAAGAGAAAAATGAATTGATAACTGGTTAGGATTTAAGATTTAAGTAACAGGTTTTGGGGGATAATGGTATAGTTATATAGATAGATTTGAGGGAAATATTTGTTTAAAATATTGAGTTGTGTTAATTGAAAATAAGATTTGTTAATGATTTGTTTTAATTTGTGACCGGAGCAAAAGCTTCGTTTTGAAAAGATGTGTTTTATGATTTTTTTTTTGGGTGGGGGGGGGTTAAAAAAATAATTAAAAAATTATATATATATTAAAAAGTAATAATAGCTAAGGTGTTCTAGAATATGTCACAGGGCTGCTTTGTCACAGTTATTGTACCTTGGATTGTAAGCACATTACAAATCAGACAGTTTATTTTGCTAGGCTGACATTCTCTGTTTTATAGGGTTTAAGCTGAGGATGGATGGCCATCTATTCAAACCAACTGGGTGAACATTTTTGGATATACTTATTTAGAGTGAAAGTCAGATTCTATTTCAAAAACTTGGGGGAAGAATGCAGCTGCAAAATCTCATACAAAATTATGTTTAAAAAACCTCTTTGAAATGTTGCTCTGTCTCCCCATCCTACTTTAATTATGTCTATTAGATTTTTTATAGCAAGGATGACCAACCCTTTGCAATTGAGAATTTTTATTTGCCCCACTTTTAAGCAAATTTTTACTATTGAGGTAGAAAATTGCACAACATGTCTCCTTCCAACAAGAAGGAATCTCACCCCGACTTTCAGCCTCCTGAAGGTCTGTTCAATAGCTGGGAGGATCTTGAAGTATTTTGAGGAGGGATTTCTGTGGTATAGGTTAAAACTCTCCTGTATGCTCTCAGGATTGCTGAAGAGAGAATGTGATCAAGAGTTGTTGAAAAGAGAATGCAATCTGGTAATGCTAGTTCTTTGTCCCAGCTTTCAGACAAATCTGGAAAAAGGGATCTGATTTTTTAAGGTTGGCCAAGCCATATAGAGAGTGATCTAAAGCTGTATGTGGTAAGCAAAGTGAGAGCTGCTTGAATCTACCCTTATCAGGCACAAGGAACTGAACAAGTTTGTGAACAGACCAAAGCAGTTTCTTTATTGCTGGTCACCTATATTACAAAAATCTCAT